TAAAGATAATTGAATGTTTAAAGCAAAAATAAGAATGATAGATTGTGGAGTTTATAGTATATATGGAAGCAAAATGTACAAAAAAATAACATAAGATACAGGAGGGGAAAATGAAATCATACTACAGTTAAGTTTCTTAAAATATCTGTAAATTGATATACCATTATTTGAAGGCACAAAGTGATAAGCTATAGATGCATTTTGTAAACCTACTAAAATAGAGACATAAAAATGGATACAGCTAATATACCAATAGTGAAAACAGAATGATTTAAAAATATACTTAATCCAGAAAAAGGTAAGAAAAGAGAATAAAGAACAATGAAGAGATGGGACAAATAGCATAACAAATAGCATAAAACATGCTGAACATCATTAGTCACTAGGGAAATGCACATGAAAGTCAAAGATGTACTACAACACACTTTCTCAAAAGGCTAAAATTAAAATTTACTTGCAACATCAACTTTTTGATAGGATGTGTGGATTGCTAGAACTCTCAAACATCGCTGGTGAAAATACAAAATTCTATAGCCACTTTGGAAAAGAATTGAGCAGTTTCTTTGTATTATTACTATTATTATTTGAGAGTGTGCATGTGTATGTGTGCACACATGAGTGGGGAGGGCAGAGAAAGAGGGGGGAGGGGTGGAGGGGGAAGCAGACTCCCTACTGAGCAGGGAGCCTGATGGGGGAGCTCCATAGGGGACTCAGTCCCAGGACCCTGAGATTATGACCTGAGCTGAAGGCAGAGGTTTAACCAACTGAGCCACCCAGGAGCCCCAAGAATTGGGCAGATACTTATGAAGTTAATCAATCACTTGCCATATAATCTGGCAACTTCAATCCATACATTCACGTAAGATTTCTATTCAAATGTCCACCCCAGCTTTATTCCTAATGACCCCAAACTGGTAACAATTAGAATGTTCAACAGGTGAATGGATAAACAAACTGTGGTACCCCCATACAATGGAAAGCTACTCAACAATAAAAGGAAATAAACTATTGGGATATCTAATAATGTGAGTAAATCTCAAAAGCATGAGGTTAAACGGAAAAAGCCAGGCACAAGAGAGTACCGACTGCCTGTTTCCATCTACATGGAATTCTAGAAAATGCATAGTAATCCATGACAGAAAAGCAGCATAGCAATCGCTTGGTTCCAGTGGTGGAGTGTATGGGGGGGAACGGGGGGGGGGGGGCGTGAGGGAGTGTATGGATTTATGCCAAAGAGAACTAAGTAAGGAACATTTGGGAGGGGAAGAAGTCTTGATTGTGTTGGTCATTATAGTACTATGTATATATTTGTCAAAGCTTGTTAAATTGTACATTTTTAATGTGTACAGTTTATCGTGCATACAGGGTATCTCAACAAGGCTGGCTTTTCAAATGGAATTAAAGAAGTGGAAATAAAAGAGTGTCAATACTTTATCATTCAGATCATCCCTTGGTCATCACTGATGGGCATTTCAAACCCAGGAAGTGCTGCCCACTGCAGAGAAATCCTGAAATCACAGGCGCAGTGAGAAACAAATGCATCAGTGTTCCTAATGTTTAAAGGCCCTGTGTACCTCGTAAAGCAATGTTTTGGTTCTGGTTTTGTCCCGGTAACCATTCAGTACTGCCCCGAATACATTAATCTATAAATTCTTTGACAAGGAGGACTCTGCCAAATCACATTCTTCTCAGAGCACATGAAAAGAATCAAATGCATTGTTTGTTGAAGGGACCAAATAAATTAATGAATGAATAGAAGGCATTTCTATGATAACTTATCATTCCAACACTTCTATGTATATTATTTCTCTCTTTAGGAAATGATATCTATTCATCTTTAAATATAGTAAGACCCCGTCCATATGAGCATCACAAATTTAGAAGCTTGAAGAATTTAAACAAGCAGAGCTGGGGTTTATCTTTGCATTGTTGCCGGGTGGTGGGGAGGGGGAAGCATATGCTCAAACAATAGTATAGCAACGTGACAATGGTCACCACTTTTATCTTGCATGTCATTTCAGGGTTTACAAGTGGCCTTCGTAACCATTAATCCATTTAAGCCATTTGGGAGCACTATTTTAGCAATAGGCAGCTTCTATCTATAAATAACACAATCTACTCATGCACTGAGGAAAAATTTCTAAGGGATTTTCTAGTTAACACTTTGTTAATCTGTTCTAAACAAAGAGAGAGAGAGATCAACATTATTACACTTTAACTTACAACCCAAAATTATCTTTTTTTTTTTTTTTTTACAAACAGTCTGTATATTGCAAGGTATTTCTTTGCAATGTACTTATGTTCTGAATTGACCTTCAGCCCTCCTCCTGGAAACTCTCCACTCCCTTAGCTTCTGCAATTCTCTTCTCTGTAGCATCTCCTCTTAACCCTCTGACCCATCTTTTCTGTTTCTTCCTTGGGTTTATCCTCCTCCATCTGCCACTAAATGGAGAAGTTGAACCCCTGGGGCTCCACTGTTGTCCATCTTTCCTTGCTATGCTATATACTCTTCCCGGGAAGTTATGTGATTCTAGGAACTTCAACTCTCAGATGTTGCCAAAATCTCTATAACCACAAAATACTTGCAGATAATCAAACCATACCCCCAACCAAACCTTCCCACCCCCCACCCCAGTCTTTTACTTATTGGAATTTCCTTCTACTCCATTGCCAAACCCGGAATCATGAGAGCAATTTTTGACAGCTCACGCTCCCTCACCTTCCCACATTCACTCTCACCAAGTACTAGCATTTCCATATTCTAAATGTTTTTGGAATCTTTCCTTTCTGTGCCAGACACAAACTTCATGTGCTTCATCAAATTCCTTCCAATGCTTCCTTCGGCTCCAACAGCATCCCAGGCCCAACCAATCACCTGTCCTTGAAGTGCAAAGCACACAGCAGAGTCAACTACCTGCAGGCCTAGAGAGTTAGGATCTCTGCCACTTCCAGACTTGGAACAGCACACTATGGAATGTGGCATTTGGTATCTTACAGGGATGCCCTGGTGCAGGGCGCAGGTAACACAACTTAGTAATATGTAGTGCTAACTCCATGAGGTGAAAACAGGTGATGGAGGGCTCCATGAGGTGAAAACAGGTGATGGAGGGATCTAAGCAGATCAATTTGCCTTTCTTCATGGGCTACCCATAAGCAAAGTTTTTCCTTGTGCCATGTTTGGAGAAGTTCAGTATGCTGAGCAGTGCACCTGCCAGCTGACCTGCTATGTCCTTCCCAGTGTATTGAATTGGCAGCCATCACGGTTAAGATATCCCTTGTCATCCCTTCACATCTAACCATCATGGTAATTCATCACTACATATTATATGGAGCCTGGCATGTAATAAGCACTTAATAATGGACACAATTATTATGCTATGATATTATGTAACCAAAATAGGCAATGCTATTGTTCTTTTCATTTCTTATGAAGTCAGACCATTGTCTAAAAAACTACATTCATTGTGTTTCAACCAATTTGAATCCATTTTGTTAAATATAAACCAAACATAACTTTCATAGACAAAGTCTGGAAGAAGAAAACAATACGGCCATAGTAACCTATTTGTGGTGCGATTCTTTGGTTTTGTTGTTTTTTAAAATACGCTTTTCTAAAATGTACACATTTTCTGCAACATATATTCCATCCACTATCAAAATAAACTTTAAAACATCTGTTGTTATGAAAGCAGTAAGATTAATAAATGATAAATAACAGCATGAATAAACAGCAAAAATGATCAATTCCAACCTTGTTTAATGAAATGGTTGATACCTAGGAGAGCTTGTGCAACCTTATTCCAAGTTTCTGTAAGAACAGTTAGATCTGAAATGAGCCTACTACAACCAGGAACTTGAGGACCCCAGGTTGGAAAATCCTAAAGGGTTTGAAATAGAACATCTTAATAGGATTTAAGCCCTGTCCTTATTAATGGAAAACCAATCCCACCCTATTAAAAGCCAATTAGGCATCTCTGCGCCATTTCTAACATTTTCTTTGGAAACACATGTAGAGCCTCAAGAAAGTGGTTATTTTTGTTTTTGTTTTTTGAAAACTCTGACCTACTTTGATAATGATATTCCTAAGCCTGTCCAGATGTTTGAAGTCAATAAAACTACCAAGCTTATTAAATAGGATCCCTCTCACATTTCTCAAGACACAAGCCTGAAGCTCAGTGACTTTAATAGATTATCTCTAAGCGAAATCTCTGTCTCCACTTTCCATCCTAAGTTTCAACAAGTCAGCGGAAGAGAGGACCAGGACCAAGGCCATCTGGATTGCTGAAAAGCAAACATGTATTTCCAGGTTATTCCCTAGTTGAAAATTCTACCATTTGTCTTTTAGGGACTGAAATGAGGCTGCAAACAGAGCCAATGTAAGCTCCGTAAACATCACAGGATGATGGCCAAACACGCCACACGCTATCTCCAGGGTACCGAGAATGTACCCCTGTGGAGTCACAGCAACCAAAAATGTGTGTCGTTGTATCATTCAGCCTTTCACATACATCCCCACACTAGGGTTTTATGCCTCTTTTCTTCATTTTCTCTGCCTTAATTCTCTTCCCTCACCTTTTCAGCTTTCCTTAATTCAGAGCTGTATTTAATTCACAAAGTGCACATAGTTAATTCACAAACTGCAGCAGAACTGGTCCCCTTCACAAAGCTGCCCCCCACACCAATCTGACACAGAATGTCCAATTTCAGTCGTTGGCTAAACCTCAGTGTATTTTGCTTCCTTCACCGTCTTCCCGAATGAAAGAAAGGGAAGTCTGAGCACTTACTAGTTGGTGAAAGCTTATATGCATTAAAGAAAAGAGATTAGAGGAAAAAATAAGCCCTTTCCGATTCTCAAGACACAAAAGGTATTTAATCACAGAAATATAAAAAGAAGGGAAAGCCCCAAAGAGGGAAGAAAAATTGGAGGGGGGGGGACTATTCAAAGTTCCCAATCTCTGAGAAAGGTAGTCTTCTAGAATCAGGTCTTTATTTTGAAATACCTCTCTTGGGTGGCATCGTGGCGGTGTCCTCTCAGAGTGGCTTAGCTGCCAGCTGACTTAATGATGACAGGTTGAAGGGACAAATGTTTCAGGTTTGGTCCAGCACATCCACACACTTCTGCCTGTCACTGAAAGTGCTCCCTGGTGCCATTTCACAGTCTGAAACATAAGAAGGTACTAATTTCCTCGCCATTAAATTTTCATGAATGTTTAGTTTGCCATTTAGGGATGGAGTACTCAGGTCAAAGGGGTTGTATTTGGGGCTCATGTCTGAAATAAAACTAAACTGATCATGTAAGCTGTATTCAAAGCAAATCTGGCTTCAGCCCCGTGTGTATGAGCTAACCTGCCTTGTTTTGAATGCCTTCCATTTTAGGGCTTTGTCAGAATTACAGATACCAAGGGTAGTGTGAGTGTTGGGCAATGCTCTTATTGACTCTTACAGAGAAACCCTGACCACCAAGTGTACTTGGTAAATGAAATGAGGCAATAAACAAGGTGCTCCTACATCTGGAGTTCAGGTGAGTGCATGGCTATGGAGCATTCAACGTAGCCCTCAGCCTCCAATGTGGGGAAACCTGGAGACACTGTATTTATTTCTCAACTTGTGGACGATAAAATTGGCTGTAAGAGGAAGTTGCAGAACACAATTTTAGAACTTTTCTCTTTATCAAATCTTCTCACAGAAAGGTGGTCGTCTTTGACTTTAAATGATAAAAAAATGATAAACAAAAAAGATTTCTACCATTGAAAAGAAAAGAAGGGGCAGAAAGTGCTGTAATTTAATGTTGCAAAAGAGACTGCCTTTTTGAGAGCGAGGACACTGGCATTCTCTGGTTACTTCGGTGATAGCCACTGACCTTGGCAAGAGGAAGCAGTGTTTTGAAATGGATCCCCACGGCACATTTACCCTAGAGTAGCTTTTGGCTGCACAAAAGCATTTGTGCACACATCTGACCCTTTGAGCACATAAACATTAGTACATAGATTCTAGCCAAAGTAGTGTGTAGCTCACTCAAAATTGTGGCTTAAAACAAAACTCCATTAGGATGATTCTTGCCTAGTTTTTCACTATTCAGACACTTAGGTCTTAACTGTAACAGTGAAAGAGGATAGAGCTGATATAAGAACTTATATTTAAAGATGCCCAGGGACGCCTGGGTGGCTCAGTCGATTAAGCCTCTGACTTTGGCTCAGGTCATGAGCTCAGAGTCCTGGGATGGAGCCCCGAATGGGGCTCTCTGCTCAGCAGGGAGTCTGCTTCTCCCTCTCCCCATCCTTTCCACCCCACTTATGCTTGTGTTCTGTCTCTCTCTCTCTCTCTGAAATAAATAAAATCTTAAAGATTAATAAAAAAAAAAAAAAGATGCCCAGAGTGGTTCTTCAACCTGAGAATTTATAAAGACATCAAGAAATGTTATTGTAAATCACTGGACATATAACCTAGAGTGAGAATAATATGTAATTTAATTGATATTAAATATGAATTTATATAATTAAACACTATTCTAATAAAAACCATCACAAATTCATGAATAAAATAACAAAAATATTGTATCCATGAAATTGTGCAAAAAAAGAATATTAAAAACAGAAATTATCACATTAAAAATTGATGGATTCCACTGTTTTAAAATAAAAAAATTCTATTCACCACAGACATTTCAAAGAAACTAAATTTATATCTCACACAGCACTTCATAGGAGTATAAAAAACAAAGACTCTCTATCAACAAGAAGACATGAACACCAAAAGGGAAAAAAAAACAAAAGACTTGAACAAACATTTCACACATAAAGATATAAAATGAAAAAGAAAAGAAAAATAAATAAAAAAGAATAAAAAACAAATAAAAATGTAAAAGGTTTTTCCACAAAAGAAGAGATATAGCCAACAGATATATGAAGAAATGCCCAATCTCATCTTAGTGAAATACAAATCAAGGCCACTAACAGAGAGGGTATGTTGGTCCGAAACCTTGGAGTTCTTCGGGGTGAACTTGAAACAGGCCCGGGTCCAGGGAGGGTTGGTGGGAAAGATGGAAGAAAGAGGCAGGGCACTAAAGATGGGTACATGGCAGGTTTTTTGTTTTGTTTTGAAAAAAAATTTTTTAAGGTTCTATTTATTTGAGAGAGAAAGCGAGCATGAGCTAGGGTAGCGGTGGGAGAGGAAGAGCAGAGAGAGAGAAGCAGGCTCCACGCTGAGCAGGGAGCCCAGCTCGGGGCTGGATCCCAGGACCCCGAGATAATGACCTGAGTCAAAGACAGATGCTTAACCCACTCAGCCACTGCCCAGGCATCCCGGTAGGTGGCAATTTTACAAAAACAAGGTAATGTACTCACGAGGCTGGTCTTGGGCAACCTCAAGACGAGTAAATCTCTGCACATGACCACCAGAGTCTTCACAGTTCATACAGAGGCCTTAATGGGGTTCAAATGGTCTCAACAACCCATTGCTCTCTCGAGACTGTCCTTGAAAACAGTTCCAGCCGCCATTCCAACCGCGGGAACGGCGGGCAGAGCATATGTGGCAAAAATAGGGGAAGGGGGCGGGGCCTCCAATTGCCCCAGGGCCAGCTTGAGGGTCTTCCAGCAGTCTTGACCTCTGGATGACCTCCTCCATCACTCCACCCCTCTTGACTGGCTCTCAGGATCTTACAGATTTCCCCTCTTTCACAACAAGCCCTGATGCTCAGCTGGGGCTTCATTAGCTTGGAGGTGACTCATTACACCTGCAGGCAGATACCACATATGAAGATATGCAGATTAAGGTAATGATTCCCAAAGTAAGTAACAATTTTTTTTTTTTTTTCCCCACCGAGAGCCCTGTGATCCAAAGCACTCATTTATTAAGTCTGCGCTAGGCTGAGGGTCAGATCATTTGGGGTGCTTGTTTGTATCCTCATGTGCTTTGATAAAGATGATATCTGAGCAGACTCCTCAGCTATGAACACACAACATTTTGCTGAGATGACGGCCCGGGTGTTTTCTTGTGAGGCGGTAATGATGACCAAGGCCATCCTATTTCAGAGGACAGCTTTTCTCACTAGAGACATTTCAGGGTTCGGTAAGGATAGGCTTTGTCAGCTATCACATCAGGCTTGTGGGGTGCGTTTAGTAAGGGCTGCTGTCTGTGCTATCCTGTCCTCCCAGTCAATACAGGGAAGAAAGATGGTGGCCAGGTGATTGTACCATTGGAACAACAGTACAATTCCCTGAGGAGAAGGAAATCGGCAACTCTTATTATTGTCAGGTGGGTTCTCCCTGCCTCCAGGGAAAACCCAGGGTGCAGCAACCCAACTGCCCCGATGAAAACCATGTCCAAAGATCTGTGCTACACAACCACTGGGACCCACCTGGGGTCACCCAATAAATACCTGAGCAGCGTGACCCGTCACCACCCACCCAGCCCATATCCTTTAATGTGACAGGATGACTGCGTGGTTCTGGTGAAATCCATCCTGTCTTCCTGGTCCAACTGGGCTGGTTCTGTTTAGAGCAGTTTTTTTCTGTCTTCAACACAGGAGCACACGAGTGCGCAAATGTTCGATACCCCGGGTAAGCCACCTGAACCCATCCCAAATTTGAATGTCGCCACCCACTGCTCTAATAGTGGTATGTTTAGGACCCTGTGGTGAGCAGTTAGATAGGCTGCTGTACAGTCTGATTGACAGGAAAAACAAAAAAAAAACAACAAAAAAAAAACTATCCCCAATGTTATTAATAGTGTGTACCACAAACCAGATGTCTGGGTTAGTATCAATAATATCATGAATTAGAGAGCCAATCCTAGTGCCAATTCTCCCTTAATGTACTGCTTTAGTGCCTTCCAATCCCCAGCCTGGCAGGGAGATACCCACCAGGGCTGTCCTGCAGAGCTACAGAGGGACACCTGCCGACATGTCCAGCAGTTAGACCGATTCCTTTGTCAGGCATACAAATGGGTCCACAGTAGAAAGAGATTTCTGTCATAAGCCTGTGACTAGATACCACAGGAGCCACAGAAGTTTAAAGTCAAAAAGACAGATACTCAGTACGAACTTGTATGGGATGTCTTTACCTTCTACAGGAATTACCCTTGGAGTCTGATTTAGAGGTTAATGTGGCTTGCAGCTTTAGGAACTTAACCTGGTTGTGCACACCATGCGTGTTGGCCACAGGAGGCAGCACTGTCAGGCATAAGGAGATGGACTGGGGGTGGACTATGCTAGACTAGGACCCCCATATTTCCCCCTCCTTCAAAGGTGCACGATTGCCTTACAGATAGGGTGCGTTTCAATGGGTCCAGCCTACAGCAGGACAATGGGCTCTGGTAAAAACTGAGCAATTCCTCCTCACCCACCCAGGCGGGATGTCCTCTTGCACATTCCAGGAGAAAACTTCTCTCCCTGGCATGAAGGGGCGTGGTGTTTTCAGCTGTGTGGTGTGTTGATCCACAGTTGAGAGTCGGGGCCAGGACTGTCTCTTGCAATGTCCACACACTTAGAATGTGTGTTTCAGCAAGTGATCTACTTTCGTTTGGCCAGCCAATGTGGTTCTACCTATTAGTAATTTAATCTGCTGCTTTACCATGACTTCCTTGATAGCAAACCTGCCGCCTGTGGTTATAGGGGCAATGGAATCTTTGTTCAATGTCATGTTCTTTTGCCCAGTGTTGACATCATGAACCTTATCACTGTCTATTCAGCAAGGGTATCCATACACGGGACTCAGTTTCTCTAATCCGTTAATGGTGGCAGCCTGGCTTGCATGGCAAAGGGGAAAGTTGGGGTTGGGCCAGGTAAGTCGTACCCAGACACCAAGGCATATTTAGGACCCTCCCTGGGAGGCAGGGGGCCAATATTATCAATTTGCCAATCCCTCGCTGGTTGAGAACTCCAGTGGGTGACCCCCAGACTCCTATGGTAGTGGCCTTGGGCACTGTTCAGATCACACAGGACATGCTATTTGCTACTGCACTGACCAAGGCACTGTACTTCAAGGATCATGAAGCATCTTGGCAATGTGCCATCCCACCTGGGCACACTCCAGTGGCTACTCTTCCCGTGCACCCCATCTGCTGTATCTACTGAAGGGTTAGTTACAAGGGCTTATGCCTAAACTAAGGCATGGGCTGCCTGATTGCCAGGGTGTGTCAATGCCTTATAAGCCAGAATATG